TTCCTTTCCTACATCGCAAAGTGAAAAAAGCATTCGCATTAATGAAAGCGAGAGAAAAGGGTGTATTTGGTCGCTTGACCAAAAAAATTTTAATTTTCCTATGGATAATAAGAAAATAATTTTGTGCCAGTTCCATTGTGATCATAATTGCTGTTATGCTATTTCATTGCATTGGTAAAACAAAGGCAAATACTATCGAAATGAGTTTGTATGACCTGTTTTAGGCATTGCAAGCCGCCACATGTGGTGCAACGTCTTCGGCTTTATCCAGCCTTGCGCCGCAATTTTTGCAAATAAATTTTATCTTGGCTTCCATGCGTGGATGCTCGTAAGGGCGATTCATTTTATAAATGTATTTAGAGCTGACGGTAATTGTGTTTGGCAGTTTTTATAGCAGTAGCATCGCCCTTTATGTTAATTTCAATAAAGCTAATAGATAAAAATCAGACTTTTGTTTGGTTTCAGAAAAGATGCGTGAAGGATACACATCAATGCTGGAGCGGCATCTTACAAACAGTAGTCTGCAATCTCATAGCGTGTGTGGCCATTTCCCGACTCGCTAATCAAAACCTTACCCTACTGCCTGAGACTTTGGGTTACAAGTAATTAAGTGATGTAAGCAAGTTACTTTGACTTTAAACTTGTGTCCACAGTTGTTGCTGTAGTAATTAAAAAAAAGCGCGAGAAGTGTCCATCTGCAAGAGCTGAGCTGGCCTTTCAAGTTTGCCTTGGATTGAAGAAATCCAAAAGTCTGTGAATTAGCTCAGAAAATGGTCAGATAGCCAAGCGGTTACGGCGGTTGGTTTATGCCCAGCTCTCTTCGGAGGCGTGGTCTTCAGTCTCACTTTGATCAACTCCTTTTTTACATTTTTTTGCCTATATTTTTTGTATTTATGATATACTTGCTAATAAAATATATACATCGATATAATTAGAGCTAGTAGCAAAAGTGGTCTCTTCTGGAAATCGCTCCAGATTTGGTAACTTTTCTGCTCCTCGTTATTACCACTGCATAAGGGCTCATGCCTGCCCTGCTCCTCCAGACAATAAAACAATACTCCCCAAAAACTCGTGTTGCCACCTGTTGCGTGGGTTTGCTTATTTCGGTAGCCATTCTCTCACGCGTGATGCACTTAATGTCTGGATAAGTCATAGCTTGCCTGTGCCAGTAGCCTCTTTACAATATATAAATACAGGGCTCCGAAAAAGTCTTTGTAATTGTGATTACTGCTCTATCAATCTTCATACTTCGAAAACGTTTATGACACACGACCATTCTAGAATTTGTTTCCCCCTCACCTCGTCTTCTTTGCTTCTCTACTTTTTTCGCAAATACATTTTATCAAAAATTCCTTGTTGTCATTTTCCTCCAATCATGCCCCTCCAGCCCATCCCCCTCAGAATCCAACAACACATCTCTGCACGAACTTTGTACAAACTAGGGATGGCTGCGTCGGATATCCACATGGCCATAAAGGCTGAATACGGCGAAGGCGCAGTACACATTAACACTATCTACGGATGGATACGCAACTTCAAGTGCGATGATTGGAGCATTGAAGATGCGCCTCGGAGCGGACGCCCCAGCCTTGAAATTGGTAAACTTTACTGCGATAAAATTCTGGCAGACCTTGACAGAGACCCACTTATTCGAGCTGAAGAGCTAGCTGACAAGTATGGCTGTTCAACCACAACAATGACGAATGTGCTGACTAACCACCTGAACTGGAGCATGTGCCAACGTGTTTGGGTTCCACACATTCTCACTCCGGAGCAAAAAGATCGGCGTGTTGCTTTCTGCAACAATTTTCTCAAGCGCTTCGAGAACGAGTCAAACAAGGCAGTTTACAACATCGTCACCTGTGATGAGTCATATGTAGACCTTTACTCAACGACATACGGTCCAGCAGCGAAGGTATGGACTGAAAAAGGAAAAAGACCCACCGAGCAGCATCGCCCTACATTTCATCAGCAAAAGTTCTTGGCACTCATATTCTTCAGCCGTTCGGGTATCGTCTACCAGGACCTTGACATACAACAGTCCACAGTAAACTCTGACTACTATATTGAACACGGGATCAATAAAATGGTCGAGGCATGGAAAACGGGCCATCCTAAATCAGATCCGAGCAAGATCTGGTTTCACCAGGATAATGCACCCCCACACAAAGCCAAGTCTACCATGGCCCGCATTAAAGCTATCGGCATGAAACTAATTGAGAACCCACCGTACTCGCCAGACCTTTCTCCCTGCGACTTTTGGCTTTTCCCGCGCATCAAGAACAAGCTCAGGCGTAAACACTTTACCAACCTTGATGAGGTAAAAGTCGCTTGGAGGGAACAGCTTGCTCTACTGGAACCAGCAAATTTCAAGACATGTTTCGAAGAGTGGTATGAAAGGTGTAAGGCTATACGTGATACTGGTGGTATTTATTATGTCGATTAAATATAGTCAGTTTCAAAATTACAAAGACTTTTTCGGAGCCCTGTACATTTGTGTAAACAATACAGCTTCACACACTCCTTCTCTTATTCCTTAACTTCAATGTGCGCACGCTGTAAGTTCTCCAGCTCAGCAGTAGTGTTATTGAGCTCCGACCACAGCATTGTCAGCTTGTGTTAGATGAATCAAATACAAGCAGTGCCGATATATAGGATTTAAATATGAGAATCTCTTCCTTGATTACCGAGGGAATCTGGGCGTCGTCTACTTTATATACTAAACTGTTTGGCACATACACTAAACATTACCGCGCAATATCGCTGACATATTGACATCTAGTGATTAGCGCGCAAGAGCTCTTATCATCTTATAATTGGTACTGGTGCTCCGAGATTAGCATGTAACAAAAATGTACTTTTTGTTTAAAAGGAAACAGCTGCCTGCGCAAAAGTAGGGAAAGGGGTTTAAAAAGCATAGCCTGAAAAATAAGCCCGAAAAGCAGATAAAATTTTCAAAATGAAAGCAGTGTACATTTTTGTTTCCCCTTTGCAGTTCATAGCAAGGGCAAATTCGGACGAGCGAGAAGAAATTAAATGGATAGTTTATTTTTGCCTTTGATACATGAGTGAAGGCGGCAATTTTCTGAAAGGGCACGCTACTCGCCTTTTTTTCCCATCTCCACCAGCAAAAGAAGGGACCTTAACCGCCCACTCCTTGAAAAAAAAAATGGTGGATTCTTCTTTGGACCTCCTTCAAACATGACACTTGTAATCCAGCATTTGATTGAACATGTTCTAAACTTGACAAAGTGAAAAAATAAAGGGTACTATGTAGCCAAGTTGTTTTCAATACGTTTGCTAGCTAGCAGCATTTATGATTTAGCATTTTGAGTGTTTTTTTTTCCCTAAGAAAATAGCTGCGATACCGAATAACGTCAATGCCAGAGACCCTACAAGGTCTGTTCTCAGTCGATGGGTAGTTACTCCACATTATAAATAACAGCTTCGTCCCAGCCAACCTTTCTGCGAATAGTACTAATTGCCAAATCCTCGTCAAACACACCCTGCCAGATCACCATCATCAGGTACTCGTCAGAGATGGAGTCAGTTTGCTCAGTAAAGCCTAAACCTTCAGTGTAAAATCTAACATAGTAGTTTTGGTCATCGGGAGTGTAGCCTCGATTACCCATGGCATAATCAGCTAATGTTTCAGAATCTACTTCACCTGTAAAGTAGTAGTCAAAAACAATAAAAGAGTCAGTGTCTCTTATGCTGTATAAAAGGACACGTACGAGTTTGGTACCATTTCCAGCACCATTGTTTGACAAAAGTACACTAGGCATTTGAATGTAGCTTATGCTTTAAAAAAAAAAGTGAGTGGAAGAAAAAATAAAGAGGAGAGGGAAAAAAGGAGGGTAACAGAGTTCTCGCCTTTTATCCCCCTCTTCAAGCACTCCTACTTTTATTCTTTAAAGTCTCGCTCATCCACGTTGCTTTTGGACGAGATTTTATTGGATAGCTTCTAAGCGATGTTTGCTGAGACTTTATTCAATGATGTGTTGAATGAGGTCAGTTTTTTTTTTTTTTTGATTACTTCACCATGATGTAGTTTTCGACATCACTAATGACAAAACAATCCCCAACATCGGGGGTATAATCCTCACTATGAGTACACGCGAGATGTCGGTTGTCGCCCAGCAGCTCGTGCCGAGTCGACATGCAAGAGATATTGCAAGCTCCGCCGATCACCACGCGTCCGCAATTATGAACGCGGATCGACGTACATTGCAAATGCCTTAACGGATATCGCTGAACTCGGATGCCATGCAAAACACTCGCGCTCACATTTACAAGACTCGTCGCATTGCCAGCAAGGCCCACCAAGCAATGATGTTACGCGCAAAACTAGGTGTCAAGATAACTTTATAAAAGAATAGATAAAGTAAAAAGAGAAAGAATAATTTTAGCTTGCTTGTCGTCCTCGACAACATCGTCAATGGCGCCGCCGTTGCTACAAAGAACCTGTTAGAAGGAAAAGGCGCCCAACGTATGCGCGACAATATCCGAGATTGAAAGCCCGCCAAACATGTGATTTAAGCGGGACAACCGATCGGGTGATACGCGCGTTGGCATTTCATATGCCAACAAATGATATAAAAGACAAGCAATTCTTGACTGAGTAACTTTACTACGATCATCGCCTTTACTAGTTCATTGCCAATACTACTCTAGCTTCATCTAACTCGCCTAGCTACCAATATCTCGCCCCAACACGTATCAACTTTTATAATACGTAACACTATAGTTACTTTTAAAAGTGAAAAGATAAATACAGGTAATGATACATGTTCTGAAAAGCACAGAAATAAATAGATGTGTCAAATAAGCAAGTACTTGTGTCAAGCGTGCTTGAAGCTATATTTTTATTTGGGTTGCGACCTATAATAACTAGTGGCCACTTTTGCTACTAGCTCTAATTATATCGATGTATATATTTTATTAGCAAGTATATCATAAATACAAAAGATATAGGCAAAAAAAAAATGTAAAAAATGAGTTGATCAGAGTGGGATTCGAACCCACGCCTCCGAAGAGAGTTGGGCCTAAACCAACCGCCGTAACCACTTGGCTATCTGACCATTTTCTGAGCTAATTCACAGACTTTTGGATTTCTTCAATCCAAGGCAAGCTTGAAAGGCCAGCTCAGCTCTTTCAGATGGACCTTTCTCGCGCTTTTTTTATACATCAATATATCATCAATACGCTATAAATAACCCTGAGGGCGGAGAAGTGGCAACTCAATAACTTATCTTTTAATTTTTTATTGTTGACAATGGCTTGTTCATTTGTCAAAAGGGGGGTGGTCTTACTCGTGAACAAAATCAGGCTTGCGCTTCTCGGCAAAGGCGGCCATGCCTTCCTTCTGGTCCTTGGTGGCAAAAGTGGCCTGGAACAAGCGGCGCTCGAAATGCAGACCCGAGCTCAGGCCAAGTTCGTAGGCCTGGTTGACGGCCTCCTTGGCCATTTGCACAGAGACGGCGCCCTTGGACGCAATCTTGGCGGCAGTCTTGATGGTTTCCTCCAGGAGCTTCTCTGGCGGAAAGACCTTGCTGACTAGGCCGTAGGACATGGCCTCTTGTGCATCCAAGTTGACGCTGCCCGTCAGGATCATCTCCATGGCCTTGGACTTGCCCACGGCGTGCGTCAGGCGCTGAGTTCCGCCGGCACCCGGAATCGTGCCGAGGTTGATCTCGGGCTGTCCAAACACGGCCTTTTCGCCGGCATAGATGATGTCGCACATCATGGCCAGCTCACAGCCGCCACCCAAGGCATAGCCGTTGACGGCGGCTATGATGGGCTTGCGCATCTTGCTGATTTGCTCGACCCAGTGTCCCAAAAAGTTGGTCTTGTAGTTGTTGACAAACTCGGCGTCCTTCATCTCCTTGATATCGGCACCAGCGGCAAATGCGCGCTCGCTGCCCGTAAGGACCACGGCGCCGATGCCAGAGTCGTTGTCAAAGCGAGACAGCGCATCGTTGATCTCGTAAAAGAGCTCGCTGCATAGGGCGTTGAGTGCCTTGGGGCGGTCAAGAGTAATGACGGCTACGCGGCCCTGAACTTCAGTCTTGATCATGGCGTAAGCCGGCGCATCCATCGTCGAGTCTAAGTTTATAAGAGCAGACATGGTAAGTATGCAGTAAAGAGAGAAAGAGAGAAAGAGAAAGAGAGCATGGCTGAGGCGTATAGTGCGACAAGCACCTTTTTTGCCAGTATTTGGCTACCATACTTACTGAGGCGGATGGCGTTGGTGGTGCGCAGTAGGGCTTTGGCTGCTTGCGCAGTTGGCGCGGCGCGCGCAAGAGGGCGTAGGGCAGGCAAGCGAAGCATGGTCAAAAGAAAGAAATATAAAAAAAAAGAGATAGCGAAATGAAGCTGACGCGCAGAGACATTCGTGGGAACAGCGTGGGCGCCTTTTTTTGTATTTCACATGAGCGGCAATGACATAATAACCGATAGTGTTGATCGTGATCTGCCAGCGGCGTTGATCGATCACGAGATATAGCTGCCGCCGATTGATGCTCAAGCCAAGCCTTCACCGTCCTCCTCTGCAGTCGAGAAACAATTTACAATTTTTTATATTGATCAGCAATGAAGTGA